ACCTAGTACCAGGAAACCAGAGGTCTCTGCCATCACCAGTGAGAGCAATGCCACTTCATCTAACTCTACATCAGCAGTGCCGCCTTCATACTCCAACAGCACTGCTGCAGCTGTTCGTGACCTACTATTGTGTGCGACACTGGAGGAGATTTTATTCGATGATCCTGACTCATGCCCAAGCTTCGACGATGTCGCTTGCATATCCAATCAAACACTATCTACCATCTTAGATTCCAGCACCATGTCAAACCTTATCATCAATTGTTCTTATTTCTGGACTTACTTGGTAAGCTCCAGTGTGACCGTTAAGACTGCCAATCATGGCAAACTTGCAACATCAGGACATGGTGACTGTGTTGCAGAGTTAACACTTGGGGGAAGGACATTCTGTATCACGTTCACTGACTGTCTACATGCACCTGGGGCAATGATCAACTTGCTTTCGGTTGGACACATGCTGAAGAAATCGTGGTCATATGCCTTTGAGCATTCCCCTGCTCGCTGTCAGCTCAAATACCATGGTGAACTTTTGGGAGAGCTCCCAATGATAGGAAATCTCTTCTTTGTCGATCTCAAGTTCATCTGTCTGAACACATCCTCTCCTGCACCTCAAATCCGAGAACTCTCTGCATTCACTTGCTCACTTATGTCTCTAGACTTGTGGCACGCTCATATGGGTCATCCAGGTGGAGACACTGTTAAACACCTTAAGTACACATCCACAGGTGTGACACTCAATACGTCAGGTCCTCTGCAATGGTGCGAGCCGTGTATCATGGCAAAACATCCTCGTAAGCCTTACCCACCCTCTGTGGAGTCCCGAGCCAGTCGCATGCTCGGCCTGGTCCATTTAGATCTATGCGGTCCATTCCCCATCATCACACCTCATGGCAAAGTACATTTTATCATCTTTCTCGATGATCATACAAACCTGCTCAGTCTCCAACTTCTTGCAACAAAGGACCAGGCGCTGGAGGCTTGGAGGATCACCAAGGCCCATTGGGAGAACCACTCAGAATGCTCAGTACAGATCTTTTGCTCTGATAACAGGGGAGAGTCCCTCAGTAAGGCCTTCATGAAGGACATACAGGATTGCGGGATTGAGCACAAGCTCTCTGCACCTTACACCCATCAGCAGAACAGGAAAGTGGAGCGTGCCATTCGCAAGATTGAAGGTCACCTCTTTGCAATGCTGGAAACAGTGCGCCTCCCAGCAAACCTTTGGGGAGAGGCTGTGCTCACTGTGTGCTACTTGTGGAACAGGAGTGCCTCCCGGACCTTACCATTGGATGTCACTCCTTATGAGATGGTGAATGGCCAGAAGCCTGATCTCTCACACCTTCGGGTGTTTGGCTCAAAGTGCTTTGCACGTATTCCCACCAAGCTACAAACCAAGCTCGGTCCTCAGTCATGTTGCGCTGTTTTTGTAGGCCACCCTGATGGGACAAAAGGTTATTGTTTGCATGACAACAATGGGACCTTCTTCACTGCCCGTGATGTCATCTTTGATGAGTGCTTCCCCACTATAAACCCCAGTTCTCAGGACTCTGATTCTGAAGATGAGGTTCCCGTGGCTCCTGCTTCTTCACCTCCAGCTGCCACTTCAGTCACTCATCCTTTGCAGCACCCTCCACAGCTTCCTCTGGTACCTGCTTGACGTTCCAGCAGATCGAAGGTGCCCATGCCAGCTGGTCATGCCTATTCAGAGGAAATGGCGGCCACTAAGGAACATCTTGCATGTTTACGCGAGTCACGTGAGGCGCGTGCAGTAGGGTCTGCTCCCTTGAGTGAGGGGGTGAGGGAGAAGATGGTGAATATAGATGCAGGAACAGAGGTAGAAGCAGGAAATGAGAACTTAGCAGATATAGAGCCAAATGTCGACATCCCAGAGGTCCACGCCAACGTCATGATTGAAGAACATACAAATGTCACCATCCGGAGCGACTACAAACAAGACCCCAATGCCGCAGATTATGACATGAAAGTTCCCCCCGCCACATATGAAGAAGCAATGCTCCATTCTGATCAGGACGAATGGCTGATGGCGATGAAGAAAGAGCTTCAGATCATGGACAACATGAATGTCTACAAGCTAACCACTATCCCTGTGGGACGCAAGGCAATTGGAAATCACTGGGTCCTCAAATTCAAAGAGGACAACAAGGACAGATCTATCTACAAAGCCCACCTAGTCACCCAAGGCTTTTCTCAAATTCCGGGGGTGGATTATGGTGCAACTTTTGCACCAGTGCTCAAAACCTTATCACTCCATCTCATTGCTGCCCTCGCCTGCAAAAATGACTGGGAGCTTCACTCTTTTGACACAACACAGGCATTCCTATGGGGAGTACTTAGAGAAGAGATATACATGCGTCAATGGGGAGGGCGATTGGAGAGTGCAAGTTTGGCGAATGCTTCGCACCATTTATGGGCTCAAGCAATCCGCAATGGAATGGTATGAGCAAGTCAGGGCAGTGATGATGGAACTTGGTTTTACCCATTGCACTGTTGATTACGCTGTTTTCATCTTCAACAGCCAAGCATCAGGAACTCGTATTATCTGTGTTATTGGGTTCCACGTGGATGACAGGATGGGAATGTCAAACTCGCCTCCATTCTTAATGTGGGTGAAGCAGTAGATTCACAAACACTTCAGGATAAAAGACATGGGCCCGATCACAAATTCCTCGGCATACAGTTTGATCGCAAGTGCAGCTCACGTCAGCTATGGTTACACCAGAGCGAGTACATCACTTATTTGCTCAAGGAATACGGGATGCTCAATTGCAACCCTGTCCGTCTGCCTCTTGACTCTCACTATCCCTTTGGAAAACCTAGCGACACTCATGATCCAGTACCCAACCTTCCCACACAGTTCTGTAAACTCGTCAGGGAACTGCTCTTCCTTGCAGTCTGCACATGCCCAGACACTTCCTACACAGTAAACACCCTTGCCCAGCACAACTCCAATGCAATGCCTGTGCACTATGCCACTGCCAAATGACTCTTGCGCTATCTCTCCGGCACGATCAATTTATGTTTGCACTACAGGGGTGCCAATGTTGATGACGGTCTCCATGGGTATTGTGATGCTGACTGGGCAAGTTCCCCCCTTGATTGCCTCTCAATCTCCGGATATGTATGATTTTACGCTGGAGGCATCATAGCCTACGTTTCAAAGAAGCAAACCACTCATGTGTTATCATCAACAGAGGTGGAGTACATGGCCGTCATGCACGTCATCCAGGAAGGCCTGTGGTTAAAGTCCTTGTTCATTGCTCTTCACATTGACATCATCCTCCCTCTCATCATCTACATGGATAACATGGGCGCAATCTCTCTGTCAACAGAAGCACGAAATCACATTCGCTCTAAGCATATCGACATTTCGATACCATTTTATCCGTGAGCACGTCGAAGACGAAACATTCCTGCTGAAGTGGCTCCCTTTGCACAGGAACACCACAGATATTCTCACAAAAGCACTTCCCTGCCCTCTGTTCGAAATGCATCTGCCCAACCTCCAATTGGTGTCTCACTGAGGGGGTGTGTTGGACGACACGACTCAGATACATATACATGATACCAGCCTCGGAGGGTTAACCTCCGAGACTTCTCCTTGCTTCTCTTTCCTTATTTACATGTCTTACTTTTTCTTGTCATCTTCGACACTGCATGTCACCACCACCGGTATCACAACCACTGGTGGGCTTCTTTCCGACTCGCAGTATTAGACTTCTTTCTGACTCACAGTCTTCTTGCTACTTGGTACTTAAAGTCCCGCTCGCATGTAGTCTCACCTCAGCATTGTTAATCACACTCACTGAGGTACATTAGACATTATCACTCATATCTACTCTTGCTAACTTGTAACCTAGACTTCGTCTAGGTAAATATAATATAGCATTGTTTATCACACTCGCTGAGACTTCGTCTAGCTTCTACAATACTAGTTGAGACAAGTCTGTTGTGAGTCTTATTTTGTTAATCAGTAGTAATTTGAGCAAAATAAAAATACATATTGATGAGTCTGGCCAAACACAAGTTGTTATTATCATTATGTATCTTGATGAAATTTGTAGTGCTATTTAAGGTGAGTCTATGGCTAGTTTATCTTATCAATTAGTTGACATATCAATAACATATGGATTGAACACTACTGAACCAAAGTTCAAAGTTGTGTTTCTATAGTCTACATGTAACATGATAAATGGAATCAACATAGATGACAAAGATAGTATTATTGAAAATGAATTTGTTGGCTATTCAAACTAGGCATACCATTCACTGAGACCACTACTAGCATATTTGACAAAGTTGAATCACATATCACAGTGCAAAGATAATTTTTTGCCTACATACCCACTGTGTGGGTGTGGGTAGGGGTGTGGGTATCCTAAGTGCCTATCCACACCCATACCCCTGGGTACCCACACCCATGACCCACAGTGGGTGCCAGATACCCATGACATTACCTAAGTGTAGAGGGCAACAAACTCACCAATGACTGGCATAAAACCAAGGAACTTGAATTGTAGTTGCAGGACCCCAGTAGATTGCATCTGTGAACTGATGGCGAATCCAGAGTTCAATGGCATGGTATTATATGCACCAGAGAGGGTGTTTTCAGATGTGGAGGGAAAAACCAGGCAGTTTGATGAAATGTGGACAGAAGATTGGTAGTGGGAGATGCAGGTAAGCACTGGCATTTACATCTGGCAAAAAAAACACACCAAAGCCTTTGCCACAGGGAAGATTGCCCCAAGGTGCTGTTGTTGCACCAGTTATCCTAGCGTCTGATAAGACTTCACTGTCACAGTTCCATGGAGACCAGGAGGTTTGGCCTGTCTACATTAGGCCTCAGAAACATCTCAAAAGATATCTGATGTTAGCCATCAAAACATGCCACAGTTCTCATCACATACTTACCAATCTCAAAGTTAGAATGCTTCATGTGAGACACATGTTCTGTCGAACATTATCATCTCTTCCACTATTGCATGGTGCAGGTCCTGGAGCCATTAGTCAAGGCAGGTGTGGATGGAGTCAATGTCACCTGCCCTGATCGTTAATTAAGGTGGTTGTACCCTGTCATGGCAGCATATGTGGCAGATTTTCCAGAGTAGTGCCTGGTAGCATGCTGCATGGAGAATAGGTGCCAAAAGTGTGTTGTGGGCTGCAACGAGCATGGGGACATGACAAAGTTGCCATTATACATACAATCGAGAGTCCATAGTCGAAAATCTATGCTTGCACTGTGATGGTGCAATGGGGAATGAACAATTTGAAGGAGAACTAGGACTATGAGCCATCTACTCACCATTTTGGGCCACACTTCCACACAATGACATCTTTTCATGTATCACCCCCAACATTCTACATCAGCTGCACAAAGGGGTTTTGAAGGATCACATTGTTAGCTGGTGCTCGGATATCATAGGCAAGGAAGAACTTGATGCACGGTGTAAAGAGTTGCTTCCTGGTGGGCTATACAAAAGGTGTTACCTTAAGACTCGAAAGTGCGAGTGAGATGTTTGTCCCAAAGAGACTGCCTGTAGGATTATCTCTTGATATAAATGCAAGGGATATCTTATTAAGATTGAAGGTGAGAAAAGAGAATGATACCTCAAGTACGTCCAGACTTCCGAAGAATTGTCTGAAGTGTCCGGTATAGGTCCAACGTCAAGAAACGAAGGTCTGAGGTTGCGCAAAGCTTCCGGTGAGCTTCTGGCAAAACAGCAAGGTTTCCGGTAGAGAATATGGTGTTTTGTTGAAGTATAGAACTCTGCATAGTATGACTAGCGAAAGTTCATCGAAAGACTTAAGGATTTCAATAGTAAAATGGCAACAGTGAGGCCAAACAATTGTTCTGGATGGACAAAGATCGATTGCATGAAGTACTAAAATCCAGAAGTGACTACTACTAACTATGATTCGAAGCAAGGGAAGTGAAGTGAGTTGCGAGAATCTAGCAAGCCAGAATATATTCTACGGCATGAAAGTCTGGAATCTATGTAGGCAAAAACTGTAGCAAGATAAGACATCCGAAATGTAATAAGACTCAAGGCGAGTCACTACAAAGATATACATGTAATAATGCATGAGGAGCATATCTATACATATTAGCAAGGGTATTTAATGTATGTGCCCCTAGACATAATCAATAACAGATAACCAAGTGATAAATGCACCAGTGAAGTCAAACGGACAAGGATAGGACATGGTATGGAGGATCAGAAAAGCTAGAAAGGCCTTGGAAATTGGCGGATGACCTTCGGACGACTCGGATAAGCGCATGGAACTCTCGGAAGATCGGAAGTGTGTCGGGAAATGTAATATGTGATTTTGACCAGATATGTGTCCAGTGCTGACCTGAGTGTTACAACGGTTCAAGGAGATGACATCATATTTAGGACTCTGACACTTCCAAAAAGGAATATTGAAGCATAACCAATGGACGGGTGCAGACTATCAAGAGCTGCAGCATGTTTTTCTCCATGTGATTGCTGGCGTGGTGGACCACAAAGTTCTGACAGCAGTGCGTGGTGTGTTAGATTTTATTTACTATGCACAGTATCGGATGCACATGGATGACACACTTTCCCATATGCACGCTGCCCTCACCTCATTCCATGCAAATAAGAACATCTTCATTGAACTTGGGGTGCAGGAGCACTTCAACATTCCGAAAATTCACTTGATGATCCATTACATTGACGCCATTCACTTTCTCAGCAGTGTGAATGGTTTCAATACTGAACTTTCTGAATGGCTACACATTGATTTTGCCAAGCAGACATACTGTGCATTGAATCAGCGCGACTAAGTCATCCAAATGACTACCTGGCTGTGACATCAAGAGTCCATCCACATCCAAGATGCCTACCTTTGCTGGTGGGGTTCCCAGCACCCTGTCAATCAAGGTTCAAACTGGCTGGAGCAAGACTTGGATGCCAGTGACTCTGATTTGGATTCAGATGATGGAGGACCTGGACAATTGGAGAACTGTGTTGACTTACCTTCTCAGGTACAACAGTTCACAATGGTGACAGGTTCCTGTGGCTACTTTGTCCCCAGGACATGTCCATTCTGAATTTGACGATCCAGCACTTACTTAATGACCATGGTGCTCCACCTTTCATTCTGGCTCTCAAAGAATTCCTTCGCATCCATGTGCTGAGCTGGTCCCACCGAAAACTCACACTACAAGACTGGATTGATGTCTACAAATACCTCAAGATTCTCTCTCCAGCTCAACCCCATATCAACAGCAGAAAGTGTTTGTTCAAGGTCTGTGTGTCCCCAGTGGTTCCTGCATCAGTTGTGAGGAGACCACCAGTGCCTGCACACTTTGACAGTGTGCTGGTGATTGAAGATGTGAATGAGTACACCGGTGAAGGTATATCCGGTAAGCATCATAAATTGGTTGTGGGCTTGTTCTGACCTGTGATTTAGGTCTTCAAGTGGGTGAAGTACAAGTTGTTTTCAAGCTTCCGTCATGTCTTAGAAATTTTCCACACCCCCTGGCATACATTCATTGGTTTCAGCCGCTTCAAAGCTTTGATCAAAATTTGCACAACTTCCGCCTCACCAGGTCTTCACATCTGCATGGTCATAACACACTGCTGGTACCGGTCCATCAAGTTCTTCGCCTGTGCCATCTTATTCCTCAGGTTGGTCGAGAGTCAGACATGCGAGAAGAATTTTATCTTAATAGATACATCAATTTGGAGTTGTTCGAGCGCTTATCAAAATCCTAGGAGCTATGATACCATTGATAATAACTATAGGGTGCCATATTGACTATGAGTTGCTGGACAAACCACATAGCTACTATTGGCATCATGGCATGCTACAGTGTGGTATTTAGTGCTATGGATGGTCTATAGATGCTCTGTTGTACTACCAAGGCTATGTAGTGATATATACTCTTGCAGCATGCAACTCGTGTCTGACCTTTTTCCTGATGCACACTAACTATAAGTATCTTGGGCTCAGGCATATGCAGGATATTGCCAAGATGTATGCTGTGCAGGTCAAAGAATTTAAACTGCAGGCAAGTTTTTTTCCTGCTTATATGTATCCCTACTGACTACAAATAGGCTTGCAATGATTACCAAAAACACATGATGTCCCTCACACAGCTTGATGACTACAGCCACCTCTTGATGGCAATATCTGAAAATGATGTCCCCCGTCTCCAGCAAGTTATTAAGATCACATTGGACAATGGCGCCAATGTCCACAAGGTCATCAACAAGCTAGAAGATGCCATTGAGGGTATATATTGCCCCCGAGGATATGGTTCCAGCAATATTGACATTGCTACTCTTGTATATCATCTCAGAGGACACCAACTTCTGTATGTGCTCAATCATAAGCTTGGTATCCCTTCCATTCGCACTCTTTGAGCTCGGTCTACATTTATCATTATCACACCAACCCTCACCTGCTAAATGTGCTCATACTGCTATGCAACCAGTTCACCCTCATACTTCAATTGTTGGATAGATTGCTTGTTTTTAATACTTGCTTTGCTTTGGTGCTCATTTTCACTTATGTTTTCTTCATTGATTAGTCCCTGTAGTCACACTATGGATGGTATAGGTCACTGTGGTATTGTACTTGCTGCTCTACCTGTTTGTTGCTCCGTTCTCTTGCAATTCTCTTGAATCAATATGTTGGATGAAAGTACAGCAGATATGATTGGTTGCATGACAAATCATCTATATATGGTCTAATTGATGTGACTATCACACTGTCACAGTGGTGAGGGATGTATCCAAAGCTTTGGGAGGTGTATATCATGAACTTCTCAATTGCACACCTCTTACTCTGGAGTCCTAATTAGACCCATTGTAGGAATACAACACAGAGTGGGGCTATACAAAGATGGCTTCAAACTGATATCTTTATGTTGTGGTCTTGCACTGCCTAGTCTGCTATACTTGAGGAGACAAGTACATTTGACTCAGGGGTCTGCGGTCTGGGAATAGTTTTGGGGGTCAGTGAGTGATGTGGAGTCAATAGTCTGAGCACGGGAAACAATGTACAAAGGTATAATTATGATGTCCAATGCAAAAGTGTTGGGTCCAATGTTTTCGGGTTTCGGTGAAGGTACAACAATTCAGATAGTGAGTCTAAACAATGTTGGGTCTTGCAGAACCTAGCTGCTATTCAACCCTAAAGGGTTTCTGGACCAGGCTCAAGGCTCAGAGGAGAAGAAATATCATGAAAATTTGCTGAGCACTCAGACTCATACTAATACTGGTGAAAAGATAACTTGCTTATGTAAGCTACAAAAGTGCCAACATAAGGTAAGGTAAAAACAGTCTCTACAAGCCCAGCCAGAAATGAATCCCTACATCGGGTTCATCAGGTTCAGGTTCGGGTTATCAAAAACTAATAGTGACATGATAGTGAGTGTTGTAAAAACGAGTGGTGTGCACAATAATAATGATGACAGATGCAGACAGTGAAGGAACAATGATATTTGCAATGTCAACTAAGAACTACAAGATATTGGATTTGACCCCTAAGCATCGGAGAATGACTCTCCTCTACTCAGATGATGATGATGCCACGGGGAGTCCAATATTTATGTAGATACATAGAAATCCAGAACCCTATAGGTGAAAGTAGTAGCGCAATATTTTGGATCTGATGTTCTATGTAATAAGACATGATGTACTGCAGACCATGAGAATACATATAATAACATGGTCTGAAACGTTAGGGATGTGAAAACAAGTAACTACACACCTAGTGGGGCTAGCAGAAATCCAATAGTCTAATGCAAAACCTGATGCAATGTCCGATAATCCAATGTCCAATGTCCAATGTTTTCAGGTTTGGTACATATTAAGTTGGATATGATAGGAATGATTTGGGTAATGATTAGCATGTCTACATGCATTGGAAATTAGATCTCTACAAGGCCACAGAAATGTCAGTCTCTACACCATGACCAGTCCTAATCTATAAGGCAAGCCATCAATAGATGGACTGGTAAAACTGGGTTTGAATTTGGATGTCAAGCGGATTTGCAGGATAACATGACAAGGGTATACTGTCATAATTATTAATACAAACCCAGAGATAGTAACAAGATAGTTTTTGATACTTGGTGAGGATCTCCAGCCCCAACAATAGTATGCATACACACTGTTACAGTTAACATTGCTTACATCAGTCCCTGCTCTGCTATTGCCCCTATCCCTTGATCCCGACTCATCAACATATGACACCGCCATCTATTTGTCCCCATAGAACTGGCATAGATCTAGAGCAGCCTAGACCAGCTGTACAGCCTTAGGCCTAGAACAGTGTGTGCGAGAAATGATAGCTAGATGAGAAGGGGTGAAAGGGGAAGAAAGGGTGAAGTGGGGTAAAACTCAAATAGACCTCTGGACACAAGTATAGATTCGGCCCAAGGGGATTGCTACTGAGAATGATTCCTTTATGTAAAATAATGGAGGGAAACCACTGAAACTAGTAAGGGTAGTTAGGAATGGATGGAAAGCAAGAATTAGCACTGTGTGATACAAGTGCAAATAGGCCAATGATGATGTGATGAAAAGCCAAGCCAAGCGATCTAAGTCATGTTGGTGCACAAAAGTGCATGATGGCAATCAGAGTAGGAGTGAAAGGGTCATGCTTTGTAAGGATAGAGTGGTCAAAGGAAGTATCATTCAATAACACAAAGTAGATACAATCAGTGTATCCGTGTCCTTCTTTGAGAAGTGCATGATGATATGGAGATTGCTTTAGTTTTTAGGGTTGGGACATTATTGCGTGCAAGTGGAAGTTTAGATTTTGTCTGTGGGAGAGAGATAAATACATGAAATTCCCTAAGTACAAGTATATATGATAGTGCACTAAGCACTCTTCAGAGCCAAGTAGATAAAGTAATATGTGATAAGGGTTCATGATGAAAGTAATCAAAATATAAATAACATAGTGCCAGAGATATGGTCAGTCTAGTACAAAACAAGTAAAATATGCACCAATGGATAAGCAGAGAACATGGATAGGATGGAGGAAGGATGCGCAACAGAACTGAAAGAGAGCCAACACTAACTGATATGCATGTGCGAGCTGCGACCACTGCGCATAGACCTAAGGGATGCTGCAAAAATAGCCTCTATGAGGCTGCAAGGACTCCAAGTCCTACAATGGCCTCCCTATCTCCATCTGGGAATCAGAGACTCAGAAATGCCTCATGCCGCCTCCTGGCACTTCTTCCCCTTGAACCTGATAGGACACATGCTGCCTCATGCATCAATGACTCAGAGGCTAAAACAGCCTCATATACTTATCTTGACACAGAAGCCTGCCCCATGGCATCTTATCTCTGACTCAGATAGATCCTAGATATAGGCTCCTACTGAACCTTATAGGATATGCCTATATAGCTTAGATACATATCATTGTATTCCTTACTTTGATATACTTGGTTTTCCATTAGAACTCCTTTCAGAGTGACCTCCAGTCCCTCTGTCTTGACTGCACTTCTAAGGCAAGCTGACACTACCTTAGCCATACATCTGTTAGCCCTACAGTTTGACAAGCTGCTGTGCTTACCAAGCTTATCAAAGGATACCTCAGGATTCCCCTGAGCTTAGAACCCATTCTTCTACCTACGTGTGACCATTAGAGATTAGCCATTTGGCTCAACCCATCCAAGTTGTAACACACACTTCTCTATATCAATACTAATGCCAGGGCTAAATTAGTCAGTATGCAGACATGCTTCTTTATATCAATACTCATGCCAGCACTGAAAAGTGGCTTCTCAGACGTTGCCAGCTATTCTATTCAGGATGTACATTAATTCCTAATGCTTCTATGCTTCTTGGTATCAATTTCCTGGCAAGCAGCATGCCAAGTATTCCATTCCTCAGCCATCCTATTGGAATTGTGCCTTCTCTTGTCTAAATATATCATATACTGTTGGTTTTCCATTCCTATTCAGGACACACCTCTTCTCCTGTCTATATATATCACATATCTTTGTCTTTCCATTCCTATTAGATAAGCATGTACTGTTATATGATGCATTCCCACAAGATTATTGGCCAACAAAATTTCACTAAGTCCCGAATATTTCACTAAGTCCCAGATGTGCTGTGGTCTATGTATTCAGAACTAAAATTTCACCAAGTCAACACAATGTCATGTGCTTTGGCAAAATTTTTGTAAGTCCTAGATGTCTCAATACAGTGTCACATGCTGTAGGCAGCCCAAATTTCACTAAGTCCTAGAATCGTCATAGTCTAACATATGTCTTTCCAGTCTTCTTTTAGATTTGTTACATAGATATTCCACAAGTTCAAACAATTGTTCATAATCAAGAATGAATATATTTGCATTGATTGATACATGGTACAAGATGTAGATAGGGTGCACAAGACAAGATAACAAAAACGAGAAATGCTCCTAATGAGCTTGCATTACCTTCTTCACACAATGGACTTGCAAGATCTGCAAAAGGACATCATGATCTTTCTAAACTATGCTGAAAATATACAACTTACCTCTTTGAAGCATTCCCAATCTTGTTAGTGTCCATCATATGAGTTAATGAGAGGTGTATTCAACTGCTACAACAGAATGACTAGTTGAGTATATTATCAAATAGTTCAAGTGTCTTAGCAGTGCCTTCACTCTCCACAATGCTCATAGACATGTTAGATGCAGGGGCCTCATCTGCTGCAGGTGGGGCAGGAGTTGTATATCCATGAGTTATGAGAGGCTCAGCCACAACAGGAGTCACTGCAACTGGTGACATAAGGGCTGCAGGAGATGAGGGAAATGTTGATGTTGATGCAGGTGGAGAAGGTGCAGACTCATGGGTTGCAAGAGACATGGGCACAGCAGGAACTATGGGAACTACAGACACGAGGGCTGCAGGAGGTACATGTGGATCACTGGGCATTTTCAATCTGTGGCCAGGACTCTGTGAAGTCACTGTAGAGACTTGTGTCTCTCATTGCATGATATTGCAGTTTTCACTAGGGAGTACATTGTATGAACTTGTAGCATCACTTTGTGTGCTATCCGCAGCTATTCCTATATGAGGCATAGCTTTCCCACACAATGCACGCCATGCACGCACACTTCCTGTGCTTTGCAATGTATATGCACGTGTGCGCTTTCCCGCACTTGAGCGCCCTATAGCACCAGCCATCCAGATGCATCCATCCACTGTCCACTAAGCCCTCTAGTGCGTATATTCCCATTTGCCCTTATTTGCATATTGTTCCACCTTTATTATTATCATGGACCCTTACTTATATATATCTTCACATACCTTACTCAGTAGTGCTTTGGCTCTGTATGACAGCGCTTAGGCACCACATATAAGTGCCAGCAGTACATACTATTACACCACCGAACTTTCCACTCATCAACTTACTATCTAGAAAGTCACAGTAGAAATCTATTCCTTGACACCTTGCATCTCTCTTCTTTTGTCTTGCATCTAATCATCACTTAAGCAAACTCACTCTTACACTCTCTCATTTTCGCATACACACACACACTTTCCCACGCTTTACGTGCCTTGCATGTACCTGCACTTTCTCATGCTTCACATTGGCCGACCAGTAGCACCTTCAGTGCATACCTCTAGATCCTTGCTGCACTTGCTTCCCCTTTAGGGTCGAATGCACTTGTCATCTCAAGTATAGCAGACTAGGCAATGCCTTGTAGAGACTAATATCTCTGTGGGCTTGCAGGGATCTAAATCCCCAATGTCTCTATCACTTCCTAATATAGCGTGACTCATATCCCACCTAGTGCACTCGAGTGCTCTGTCGGCCGCTCACATGCATGAGCGCTGTAGAGACTCATGCCTCTCATGGTGTGATATGGCAGTTTCCACTAAGGGAGTATACAGCACCAACTCGCAGCACCACTCTGTGTACTGTCGACAGCAATTCCTATATGAGGCGCAGCTTTCCCGCGCAACGCGCGCCATGCGCGCTGTAGAGACTCGTGCGTCTCATGGTCTGATATGGTGCTTTACACTAGGAAGTACATAGCACGAACTTGTAGCGTCACTCTGTGCACTACCCACAGCTATCTCTATATGACGCGCAGCTTTCCCGCGCTTTGCGATGTATACGCGCGCGCATTCCTGCGCTTGCGCGCCCTATGGCGCCAGCCATCCAGAAGCATCCATCCACTGTCCACCAAGCTCCCTAGTACGTATATTTCCATTTCCTTTATTAGCATAGTTCCACCTTTATTTTTATCATGGATTCTCACTCATATATATCTTTACATACCTACTCGGTAGCGCTTCGGCTCCGCATGACCACGCTTAGGCGTGCTATATAAGCGCCAGCAGTACATACTATTAGGAAGGGACTTTTACCTCCCAATTACTAGTTATCACTTACTTACTACTTAGCAGAATATAGTATAAGTCTATTTGTCTATACTTCGCATCCCCCTTCTCTTTTCTTGCATTATATTATCACTTGAGTCTAGTCTTTATCATTTTCTGCAACCGCGCGCGCGCTTTCCCGTGCTTCGCGCTAATACACGCGCGTGTTCGCGCACCTTGCATGCACCTGCGCTTTCTCACGCTTCGCTGAAGCGCGTACCTCTAGATCTTGGCTGCACTCGCTTCCCCTTTAGGGTCGAATGCACTTGTCTCCTCAAGTAACGCAGGCTAGGCAACGCACGACCTTCAACTATTATAGATACAGCTAGGAGCATTATTTGTTCCTCTCTGTATTGTTGTTTCTACACCGCACCTTGCACGCACCTGTGCTTCAGCGCATACCTCTAGATCTTTGCTGCACTCACTTCCCCTTTAGGGTCGAATGCACTTGTCTCCTCAAGTAACACAGACTAGGCAACACTCGACCTACGACATTTTTAGATACAGTTAGGAGCATCTTTTGTTCCTCTCTGTATTGTTGTTTCTACAGCGCTTTGGTTGCGTGTCAGCGTGCGCATACTTGGTTCCGTCACTCATCCTCCATCCATCCATTTCATGTCCATTCGGTTTGTCAGTGTGTATTCCATCTTATTTCCATTTATTCTGACATATCTCCAGTGCTTATGGCCATATTTCATATGTTTTCTGTCATGGACCCTTACATTACATATTATTCCATATCCGTTTCACTTCTTGGTTTACTTTAGCGCTTGACAGTGCTTAACATTACTTAGTATATATACACGCGCCTAAACTGGATAATGAGCATCTTTCTGCCTGCACATCATTGGACTATAAGTCTAAGTTCTTCCTCATATCCTTAAGTATCCAAGTACAATACGAGTGCCCGCTGCCATACATTACTAGAGAAACTCTGCCAATTAGTTTTCTGACTCATTAAGAGTCGCTGCGCTCCACCACCCACACCCATGCACCGCTTCCACTTAGTGCACACTTCCGTTATAAGTCGCGCATTATCACTTATTGTCGGCCGTCATCACTCATCAGCGCTTTATGTCGCTTTCGCTCATCATCATGCACCTTACCAGGCTTGACCAAGTGCCCAGACCAGTGTTTCCCTCCATATATGCACTTAGAGGAATCTTCTCAGTAGCAATCCCCTTGGGTCGATGTATATCTCGCTCATCGAGGACTACTTGAGTTTATCTCATACCACCCTATTATCAACACTACCAATTCCTCTTCTACAGCGCGATCTTACAACATTTATAGATACAGTCTGGAGCATCGTTCACACCTCGCTGTATTGTTGTTTCTACATCACATGTGCAAAGGCACCACCAAGATGAGGCAGAGAAAAGATGGGAATCCTACCAGCATCCATGTCCTTGTTCCATGCAGTGATGGGTGTGTCTGGGCTATTCTGAGAAGGGAACAGAGGGAGTATTGGAAGGTTGGATTCTATGTTGGATTCAGGCTCAGGCAAACTCAGGTAAGGGTTGAGAGACTTGAAGAACCCAGCATCAAAGGAACCACCAGACAAGGCATACCCATCTAGGCCATGGAAATATGGGTGAATCATTGGCAGAGCATTGTTATCAGCGGGGTGTATGGATACACCTCTGCCTTCCACAATGGGTAGAGACTCCAAAGTTGATGGTTCTTGAACTGGCATTAAAGGGGTATTAGTACAGGCTTCAGGAAGAGAAGGTGTGGGATTGAGCATGTTGACCCTGCTGAACAAGTCAATGCACTCCTTGCCACATAATGCTTTGGGTGGTGCAGATGTAGCACTATTAGCTATAAAAATTTAAACAATACCTCATAAATAAAAAAAGACATGCACTTACCGAATGCACCCTTTAGAAACATAGTGAATGGTTCAAAAATTTGTTTGGTGTTGTAGGGATTCATTTCTGGCTGGGCTGGTAGAGACTGTTTTTACCTTACCTTATGTTGGCACTTTTGTAGCTTACATAATCAAGTTACCTTTTCACCAGTTTTACTATGAGTCTGAGAGATCAGCAAGTTTCTATCATATTTCGTCTCCTCTGAGCCTTGAGCCTAGTCCAGAAACCCTTTAGGGTCGAATAGCAGCTAAGTTCTGCAAGACCCAACATTGTTCAGACTCACCATCTAAATTGTTGTACCTTCAGTGTGATCAGAAAGTGAGTTGCAGAAGGTGAACCCGGTGCTCCCCTTCCCATGGTAAAAACTGTCCACACATTAGAATCCCTTTGCCAATGAGATGGCCACATATACTCACCTGAAAACATGAATGTCCCCGTTTGCATGTGAATCCTGGCCACCTAGGTATATGCTCCCATGCCAACCAGTTGTCTCAAATATTGTCTCTAGTAGTTGCCTGGCTACACCACCCAAACCTTCAATATATCTATTTATATGTTAGCCATGCTGAGAAACTTGAGAGAACAGAAAAAAAATTACTGTAGTTTGAGAGGATCTGAAGGATTGTGCAACTCCTCTAGTTCATGCTTCACCTTGTCTGCACGACATTCACATTTGGCTGTTGCTTCTTCCTCTATCCGAATCACGTAGGCTTTGCCATGGGCTGCCATCGCCTTGCTGGCTGCTGTATGAAGGCTGGACATGTGGGTTTTTTGTGTGTACTCACCATTCTTCAATTGAGCAGCCACTTCTTCCTTGACTGAGGAGTCCTCCTTATAGTCCGTTTGTAAGAAATGTTCCACTGTGGTAGGTCCACGTGTATGAGCAGTTGAGGTTGCCATCAATTTGGTGATGGTCTTAAAGAACTGGGTATGGTGTGACCTACCAGTAGAAGAGGCTGTTCGATAACAATAAGAGTGCAGTTGCTGCATTAAGGTAGTTTAGCTATTATCTGAAATGAAAACATATGTAATGTACACTCTTGCGCTGCTTGACAAGTCTACCTAATTCTTTTGTTTGGTTGGCCATTAATGCGGCCTCAGTAAGGGATATCCCAGTTGTGCTGTCTTGAAATGTATGCCAACTTCTGGCCATTTCACAAACCATTCTAAGTACAACTGGCTGAAGTATGCGGCAACAGAACCCTGCAGCTGACTCAAGCGGAAGCCATTTATCTTACTGTTCAACCAAGCAGTCTGTTCTTGAGTCATCTATGTACAAGGTTTCAGGCATCTATCATTTCCATCAAGGTAAGCATGTATCAATATAAACTCGTGTGACACACATATCAAATGTTTCTTGATGTTTGATGACACCTTGAGGCTTGTATAAATACCCCATATAGGACAGGGTTTCAATATTTCCAATTCACCCAATGAGATGAGGTGTTTGCAAGGCAATCACTGAGGTTCTTTCTTTAATCTTTCTTTTATAAGGTCTGTAGAAACTTACTAACATCAACTATTTAGCCACCCTACAACTTTCATACATTCAACTCCATTACTATTTGATCAATACGAAGGTCTACCATAATGAGGATGACACCTTCACCTTGTCCAAGCTTTGGAGTGTGTTACAACTGATCTGTAACAAAACAGGTAAGTTTTTCTGTCATC